GCTTTAAAAAGTAATCAGTAATGTATTTCGTTAGATTACTCAGGTTTAGTAACTTAATCTAAATACTTTAGAATACTTTGAAATACTTAAGCTATGTAACACAAAGGAACATATTAACTTGATGTCTTGTTTTTATGCTTTCCAAATCTAAATAAAAGTGACATTTACCAGTCATAAGATTTGTGTTTTCTTTGCATTTTATTTTTAACGACATCAGTTTTCCACAGCATTTCTATGAACAACAAAAAATTTTGTCATTTAAATCTACCAATTAATATAAATTCAAATTCAACGCTTCAAAACTAATCCAAACACACCAAACACATAATAAAAGTAGCCAAAACAACTGGCACAGTTCTCAAAGTTATACAATAGATTTGTTTAATGAATGGACCAAACTTTAAGTGAAGATAATCCTCTCTATGGAGAAGCGATCGGCACAAAAGAATCGCTGAGTCAAAATTGACAGGGCTCGTTTCCCACGGTTGCAAGCAATGTCGTTATAGTTCAATATTTAACAACCACAGTTCACTAACGATGCTTTTGGGAAACACACCTCAGAACTATCCAGTTTGTGAACCATTCACACTGGTTTCGTTAAACAAAAGAAATGATTCGTTTAAAAGATTGACTCAAAAGAATCATCTGTTCACGAATCGGATCATGAACTCGCATTACCGCACCAAAGATGATCTATTCTTGAACATTTTGAAGATGTATAAAGACTTCAAGTTCATCTGTAAAGCACATAAAGCTATCGTTTGACTTTATAAAATTTTATTTCATGCATGATTCGTATGGATCTGTTAACTGAATGCAAAGTGTGAATTCTAGGAGAATTTTTGTGTCGTGATGATGAGCATGTATGCACGCTCACTGCGAGTTGCTAAATGAACAGGCTGCTGCACGCAGTTTTTTTGTTTCAAGCGAGAATCAGTTGCCTTATTGGTTAAAATCTCCAAACTGTTTACTTAAATAAGAAATTAAGAAATGACATTAAAATTCAAAGTAATTTGGACGGGAGTGCCCCTAGAACAGGTCTCCAGGCATGCTGAGACCTGTTCTAGGGGCACTCCCGTCCAAAGAAAAGTGAGGTCTGACCACGGGGTGAAGGTTTGGCGGCAGATCAGTGTGACATGGACCCGGTGAGTGCCTGCTGCCATGCCCACATCGGGACTCGGCCATGAAGCCAGTGCTGAAGCGGACTCCTATGAAGCAGCCCCAGTGGCGTGTCTGCCGGAGCAGCTGCCATATGCCCCAGGAGCCTCTGAAATTTTTTCAGTGGGACCGCTGTCCTGCCCTTGAACGAATTTAAGCAGTTCAACACTGACTGAGCACGTTCCTCTGTGAGGCGTGCTGTCTGTTTGACCGAATCCAACTCCATACCGAGAAAAGAGATCCTCCGCGTCGGGGAGAGTTTGCTCTTTTCCCAGTTGACCCGAAGACCCAACAGGCTCGAAGGGCAGGGCCTTGAACTGATATGCTCGTCCTTCAAATGCGAACCGCAGAAAGGGTCTGTGGCACGGAAGGATAGAGACATGAAAGTACGCGTCCTTCAGGTCGATCGCTGCAAACCAATCTCGGGGACGGATCACCCAAACATGCGTTTCTGCACCAACATCTTGAATGGTAGCCTGTGAAGGGCCCGGTTCAAGATACGCAGGTCCAAGATCGGTCGTAACCCACCACCTTTCTTGGCTGTAAAACCCCATCTTCACTTTGGCTGGAGGGAAAGGCTCTATCGCGTCTTTCGCCAGTAGGACTGCAATCTCCGCACGCAAGACATGAGCATCGGCTGCCTTCACTAATGTGAAGTGGATGCCCCTGAATTTGGGGGGATGCCGGGCGAACTGAATTGCATAGCCGAGTCTGATGGTCCAAAGGAGCCAGTGAGATGGTCTAGCCAGCACTAGCCAGGCTCCCAGAAACCGTGCAAGTGGGACCAGTGGAACCACCGACGTACCCGCAGTGGGGCAGCGAGGTGGAACACAGGGACCCGGCTCGGGCGGCTAGCAGGCAGACCGAAGCAGGGTCTGAGTGTGCTGCGCAACACTTACCTGGTTCCATGGTTGGGCAGAGGGTGCTTGAGTAGGGCCTTTGATAGTGCTCTCAGACTGCCCACTGCTGCCTGTTGGCGACAGAGGGGGATGGGGGTGACATGGAACTGGCCCGTCCACAACTCTCCGTCCCCTCTCGGGACCCAGAGATAGCAGCTCCCTCCATCTCTGGGTCGCCCGTCTCAGGGCCTCTTGCTCTTCCGCTTACTGCCAGGTTTGGCGGGGGCCTGGACGGGCGGGGCGGATGCCCAACGACCGGCTCAACGGCACTGCTTGGCTAGAGGCTGCGGCGTGGGAGCGGGGGCGTACACAGGGGGACGCCCTCGGCAATGAGCAGGCTGAGGTGCTGCAGCCGGTGAAAGGGTGGAGGCAGTAGCTGCCTGCTGGGGCAGGATGTGATGAATCACTTCAGTCTGCTTCTGTGCACCCGAGAACTGCTGGGCAAAGCTCTCGACCGCGTCGCCGAAGAGGCCAGTCTGGGACACGGGGGCATTGGGGAACCGCACTTTGTCTGTGTCCCTCATGTCGGCCAGACACAGCCAGAGATGGCACTCCTGGACCACAAGCATGGACATCGCACGACCCAGAGAACTCGCGGTGACCTTCGTCGCTCGGAGCGCAACGTCAGTTGCGGTTCAGAGCTCCTTTAGAACCTCCGGATCATGACCACCCTCATGAAGGTCCTTCAGTGCCTTAGCTTGGTGGACCTGCAGTAATGCCATGGCGTGTAAGGCAGATGCAGCTTCTCCACAAGCCGAATAGGTACTGCCGGTCAGACCAGACGAGTTCCTACAGGCCCGGGAGGGAAGGGACCGTTTGCCCCGCCAGGAGGAGATGGTATTAAGACACAACTGCATCGCTACCGACCGCTCCAATGGGGGGACCCCCGTATACCCCTTAGCTGCACCACCGTCAAGGGTGCTGAGGGAGGAGGAGCTAGCAGGTCGGTTTTTGGCAATAAAATAAAATACCGGAATGGGGCACTGAGAACCAGCACGGGCCACCTCTAGAAACCAGTCTTCCAACCTCGAGGGCTCGGGACGTGGTGGAGGTCTCCACTCGAGCCCTACCCTCTCGGCGGCCCAGGAAAGCATAGCCGTCATCTTTGGATCTGATTCAGGATTTGTTACCGTCCGGGAGGGCGGCAGCGCGGCCGAATCTTCCTCTCCAAAGAGCTCCAACTCGCCCTCTGATGCAGCGATCGACATCCGATCGTCGGGAGGAGCCCCAAAGGATACGGCTGGTATGCTCCTTGTAGAGGGCCCAGCACGTTCCTCGGGGAGCTCAACTGGCCGCGAAGTGCTAGAGGAGTGAGGGTCCCAGGGAGGTTGGTTCCTCGGAGGGATAGCCGTCACTGTCACCCTCAGACTGCCCGAGCTACTGCCTGAAGTAGTCCCCCCCTGACTTCTGAAGAGAACTAGATCTAGGCAGAGGCACCGGAACTCCACCCCTTTTCAGGTATTGGAGCCTGATCCGCAACTCCGCGATGGTCATCTTCCTGCAATAAGAACATGACTCATCAACGAATGCAACCACAGCATGCGATCGTGACCATCACCCGGCGCCAGGTAGCAACCAGAATCCAGAAATGCACAGGTGGAACGGCATCTATACCAAGACGCAGCGTTGTCTCTATAAAGACACAGCTTCGTCTTTACAAAGACGCAGCATCGAGTTGGCACAGATGCAACGTCATCTTTCAAAATGACGCGCCCACCCGTGAGGGCTCTTTTAGCGAATGCTCTTTTAGCGTGCTGAAACGCACAGGGAAATGGCCGCCTGCAACACAAACAGGGGGTAGTGCAGCCTGATGTGTGTAACCCACTCAGCACTGGAAAAAGACCACCACTGTAGCACCGTTCCACCAACATGAAGAAGCTCCCTTAGAGCGTGTTGAACTTGTCTCTTTCACAAGCGAAGCTTGGTAAGAGCAGAACGATTGAAACCGCTTGGCTCCGAAGCGAAAAGCTGAGTATGCGTTGCACCTGCTGCCTATTTATACTCGCGCTGCGATCAGCGGCAGCTGGATGCAATCATCGCATGCCAATGTGCATTGGCTCATTTAGTTTACACTCGAAGTAGATTGGTCTCTCTGGCGAGATTCCCAAATTCAAATTTCCCGACTGAAAGGGAACCAAAGATTTTCAATACAACCACAACCTTTACCATAAAAACTCTGACAATGTGGATTGTGAAATTTGAATGTTTGGGCCCTCAAAAAAAGTTATTTTCCAAAGTTGTAAATAAATATTACTAGAGTACATTTTACATGAAAATAATATTTCACTTTTTATTTTCAAAATTTACTCTTAATTCAATCCATTACTTGCTGTTTCTTTGTAATTATTTGTGAAATTTTGCCATTTTTGAATGAAAATAGTTTCAAAGTAAATCCTACACCATTTTTTTTTCATTTCATCAGTTATTGTGAACTTTAATGCAGAACTCTCACGAGTCAAATGTGTGCTGAAGCCGACTATATTTACATTGTTCTTGAAATGTTTACAATTCTGCCTTACTGAAATGCTTCAGAAATATTCTTAAATTGCCCTGTGTTCACTGTATGCAAGCTACACACATTTATTTTGAGTTATATTTTTATATCTTCCTGCAATACAACATTTTTCAGATTTTATTTTCATAATTGATAAACTATAATGATATTTAAAACTTTGGATTTCCAGCTTTTATAGTTTTATAAGTTTAGTTTATCATATTAATACCAATAATAAACACTTAGCTGGTTGTGTTTTGGTTGGAGGCAGTGAAATAGAGCTACTTAAAAAATATGAACACATGAGGAGAGAACATGGCTTGCTAATAATCTTAAAAAATCCTGGGTGGCTTTTAGGTTTTTACCAGAAGATGGAATCAAAGTGTTGCTGTGTTTTCCATTTTCTTGGTTGAGTTTCAGTGTTATCAATGTTCATAACATCTTATTCAGCTCCACTGTATGTTTGAAAACTTACTGTTTTAATGCATGTGACACAGGCTTGCTTTGTTTTTTTTTGTTTTATTGTCTTTAATAGCATTCATATGCAGTGTCAAATACTAAGCACTTCTTTAATTGTACATATATTTCTTAGCTATTAAATCATGTGACATTAATGGTACAGCTCAAAGAAAACATTATCCTGTTCAAATAATATTATATAAGCACATGCTGGCTTCTGCAGCTAAAAAAAGAAATACAACTTTTATCATTGCCACTTTTAAAGAATCATCACTGTGATGCATCATGACACAAAATACAATCAACACTATTTATAACAGTGAATACTACAAGTTATTAATCCTTGGACTTTTGAAAATATACAATATTTTTGCCCTAATTGGACCTAATTTTATACCATATATTACAGGATTGACAACAGGTGGAACAGTCAGGATTATAACAGACAAAAACGTAGACGCTATATTAGACAGTGTTTCTGCTTTAAATCTTGTGAGAAGAGAATCAGAAAGACCACATATTGTAATCATAAAGGAAATTAGGTGTGGCACACATGTGCTGTAGAACTTCTCTCGATTTACTTTAGATTTTCTACAAGCTAGAATTATTTTAAAATAGGAAATCAGAACAAAAACAAAAAAGACAGCCTTGCTGATATAGACAAATCCATTAAAGGTCCCTTGAAAAATATCTTGTTTGCATGCAAGATTCAACAAGGAAAGGTGTTCACAGAAAAGTCTATTCATGTCATGTCTGCAAAGAGGGTGTTTCAGAGCCAATGAAACTGCCATTACACTCATGAAAAAAGGAAATATCCAAATAAAAGTCACCAGGCTCCTCACAGTGAAAGGTGACATAATGCTGTGATAACGTAAAGGTTGACAGATCGCTATGTACCTATCAATAGCCATGACACTTAAATTTGTGAATTCTCCAGTTGCATAAATCACAATGACAAGACCTTGTACAATACATTCCTCAAGTGAAATCCTGTTTGTTTCTGTGAGTAAATATACCAAAGCCCTGGGATAAAACCCTGTAGTTCTACACAGATCATTAACACACAGATTACACAAGAAAATGTACATGGGCTCATGCAGGGCTTTCTCAAAAGCAATAATCATAATCAAGGCGGCATTAAGAACAATAGTGAGAAGATAAGCTGGAAGAGCAAATGAAAAAAATATGATCCTGCTGGTCCAGTCCCACTCATTCAGAGCCATGACAGTGAGAAAGTGGGGAGGGGAGATGTTATGCATTCCTTTTCAAAATCTGACTCCAGATCAAACAAAGCCAACACAATCAATCTTGTATTTCTCGTGTCCAATCTTGTGTTATACTGTTGGAAAACTTTTTAAATTATTTAAAATGAGCCCTAAAAGCAGTATGTTGTGTTAAACCATTAAAATGAGAAACAACAATAACAAAAAGTCCATGGCTTGAAGGGCTATGAGGTATGGAGAAGACCTCTGAACACCTCTTTTAGAGATCCATCCTTCATTCTGCTCACAGCTATATGAGGGAACTTTATATAGAGTCAGATATGCAACGTCATAATGATCTAACACTCCTTAGATAATTCAGAAAAAATTGTATTATGCAAACGTGATCTTGGGGTGACAGTTTATACTATTAGATGACGTTATCCTTCTGTAATTCTGGAAATAAAGGTCCAGCAGAAACTCTTTAACTAAATACATGATTTATTCAGCATGAACTGTAACTGGACCAAATGTTAATTATATAGGATCCATTAAATGTTTCTCAGGGGCTCTTCTAAATACAAAAATTAAAAAAAAAAAAAAAAAACTTTACCGTAACCTTTATTATAATTCACCCAAAAACGAAAATTTACTCACCCTCATATATTTTTAAACCTGTAAGACTTTCTTTTATTAAACAGTGTTTATGGTTTAATGTGGTGTAATGTACCACTACTTTTAATATTACTAATTTCACTGATTAAAACGAAAGAAAGAAAGAAAAATTAAAATGTAGATTGTGAAATTAGATTTTTGTGGCCCCTCTCTCAGTTATTGTGAACCTTTATACAGAAATCCCATCAGCCAAGTGTTTGCTGACACAAACTATCTTCATCGAGAATTTGCAATTCAGCTTTACTGAAATACTTCAGAAATATTCTTAAATTGTCTTGTATTCATTGCTTGTGAGTTACACATTCATTTTGAGGTATATTTTTATATCTTCTTGCAATATAACATTTTCAGATTTGGTTTCATAATTGATCGCGAGACATAAGCAAATAAGAATAATGGATCAACTAGAACAATATTTAAAACTATGTATATGCCACATTTATAGTCCAATAAATTTTGTTTACTTAATAGGTTGTATACCATCTTAATACCAATAATGCATTTGGCTGGTTTTCTTTTGTTTGGAGGAAGTGAAATTTAACTATTTAAAAATATGAACACATGAGGACCAGAATATGGCTTGCCAATTATCTGTCAAAAATCCTGAGTGGCATTTAGGAGTTTACCAGAAGGTGGCATCAAACTATTGGTTTGATATCTATTTTCTCAGTTGAGTTTCAATGTATCATTGTTCATAGCATCTTATACAGCTCCACTGTATTGATGAAAACATACCATTGTTTTAATGCATGTGACACAGGCCTGCTTTGTTTTTAATTGACTTTAATAGCATTAAAGTGTCAAATGCTTAGATATAACTTGTATAAATATCCATATATTTCTCAGCTATTAAATCATGTTACATTAATAGCTGTCACAAAGCAAGGCCAGACAACAGATAAGTGCAAAACAGGATGGTTTATTGACTTGGTAAGTGCGGGTAATCAGAACTCAGGTGACTGTGATCGGGTAATTATCCTGGATGGTGACTGAAGTGACTGTGATGACTCCCTGACAATAGTACAGCAGAAACAATACATTATCCTTTTTAAATAACATTATATGAGCACACACTTGTTTCTCCAGCTCAAAATAAAATATTTGTTTTTGCCACTCTTACAGAATTGCGATGCATAATGAAAACAAAAAGCAGTCAGCATTTATAACAGTGCATACTGCAAGTTATTAATCCTTGGACTTTGGAAATTATACAATATTTTTGCCCTGATTGGACCTAATTTTATACCATATATTACAGGATTGACAACAGGGGGAACAGTCAGGAATATAACAGACAAAAATGTATATGCTATATTTGACAATGTTTCTACTTTAAATCTTGTGAGAAGAGAATCTGAAAGACCACAGGTTGCGTTCAGAAAGGAAATCAAGTGTGGTACACGTGCTGTAGAACTTCTCTCGATTTACTTTAGTTCCCCTTCAGGAAATCGAGCTGCGTCGAAACGCTATGGGAATGCCTTCAGCGTGACCACGCTCTGAATCACATGTGTAATCAGTCCAATGGATGGGTGGGTGAGACGTCACGGGCGGGGTGACGTAATGACCAGGAAGATTTGAAAAGGGAGAAAAAAAAAGTTTGGCAAAAGGCGGGATCATATGTGTTTTACTTACCCGAGTTATACTCACCTGAGTAACATTACATTTGAGATTTGAGTACATGTTTTTTTTAAGATTTATTTATGTGTTTGTTTATTTGTATTGTAGCAAATTAGCTCAAAAGGGAAATGTATATAAATAATTACAATTAATTATGAGTTCGTCCAGCAATCATTCAGTGTAAGTTCATATCAACTCTAGGAAGAATATTTCCGTGGCCACAGACAATAGTTTCATACAGTATTAATGCATTAGAGCATGTAGCAAGGATCAAATCATAAAGGGACATTAATTTGCAAGGCAGAATCAGAAACTCATGTAATTTGTGCACAAGAGTTTTATTTACTAAACACTAACACAAACTAGTCAAACAAACAAACATACATACACTCATGCGTACATACAAAAGGGGAGCAAAGTGGATGAAAGAGATCATTAGAAGAACAGGGAATGAAGCTATGGAAAATGAGTCAGTTAACCACCTGAGTGAAACCATCAGCGCCGATTTATAACCAGGCCTACAGCTTATACTAAACCTCTGTTTCGTTTAGTTAAATGTACGATACTTGCATTGCCTTGGTCGTTGACAAGTGTCCGGATGCAGTCTCGGATGAAAGTCTTGATGGTTTCAAGGGTTTGGACTTGCTATCACGTTCTTCCTGGTTTGAAGAGTGATGAATTCCAAAGATCCTGACTCGATGGTGATTGGGAGTTTCTTCCCAGGTGAAAAGTGAAAAAGAGCTAAGAGAGACATCAGCTGAGATCCTAGGATCTTTGGTGAATGTAAAGTCAAGGCTGAGGCCTGGCACGAACTTAGGGTGTCCTTAGAGGGGTGCTAGCTCACATCCTCATCTTCTCAGAATCTAACAGAACTGCAGACTTACCGACTATGTGTTGGAGCCCACCAGGCAGGCCCGCACCAGCTCAGGCTCTCTACACGGGCCGCAATCAGAATATTTTAGCAGAAGACTTAGCAGAAGAAGACTTGGGCGGAACTGTGCGTGAGCCTTTTAAGGTCTGAGAAGATTCACGCCTCTCAGGATGGGCTTGTCCAATGAGAAAGGCTGAAATTCCAAGCGGGAAGTTGGAAATACTGGGGAGGTTTATGACCCTTTGTGTGAGAGCATGGTAATTTGCATATGGAACTCATGTTGATGCAAAATTACTAAAGATTCTTAGAACACTAATATATTGCCTATGTACCAACATATAAGACCAAACATAAGGTTACATGAATGAGTGGTTCTATCATGAGCATGTATAAAACAGTATACAATACAAACAATACAAAA